CTGAGCTCCAAGGTCTCTGGCACAGCGCCGCGTGCAGTGGGGCTGCCTACTTGCGGCAGGAAGCCAAGATGGATCGTCGTTCCGGCACTCCCAGCCTCCTCGCAGTGATGTCGAAGTCGAGTGAGTGCCGCCGACGAAGCAGGTCGTGGCCTCGATGTCCCGAACATGGGAGGAGAAGAATCCATGCTGATCCATTGCTTTACAGTAAGCTTTACACCGGCTGGCAGCAAGATATGCGCTGCGGCTAGGAAGCAGGCGATGGCAAGAGCAACTCCAAGCAGGAGGGTCGGGAGCACCTGATCATCTGCCCAGTCACACAAAGAGGCCCCGTTATTATCGCCGGGCGCAGCTGGGCAGGAGCACACGACGGACTGCCATGGTTGTTGCCTCAGATCCAAAACATCGACCATCCGCGGCTGCTACCTCTCAAATCTGTCAGACCTCACTCATTTCACACCATCGGTGTTCAAGCGAACACGCCCAACAAACATGCATCAAAGTGGCCGCGTCCACTGTCCACTCTGCTATAGGCAGGGGAAGGCACTGAAACAAAAACAGCTTCAGCAAGCGCTATCAGCATGGAAGCCATGTCGGCATCGGTTGAGATCTCGTACACAGTGGCATGCACGTGTACATAGAATCTTCATCTTGTGCTACAGCACACCAGGGTCTTTTCCGCAGCAGCCGACGACTGTCACTCAGTGTACAGGGTGCCATAGACGTAGGCGCCAGCAATCTCAGGGGTGGACATTTCTCTCTGAATCGCATGCCGCATGGAACTGGAATCCTTTGTTGCGGCTGTGCCAATACTTCGCCTCAGTAAAGTCTTCCTTGCTGATCTCGCCAGGCTTCGGTTCCCCGTCGGCCACCTGCAGCGACAGCGATAATTCTGGAATTCCGTCCTTGCGTCCATGCGTCTCAAGAGCCTTAAATCAGCTTGCTCTCAGGTTCGCAGACAGCTATGCGTGCTTGAACAAGGCATGCTGTGGCCTACCGCACTGCTAATGGACTGAAGAATCAGTGCGAAAAGATACAGTATCAGTATCACCTGATCCAATGCAAACCAACCACGTACTCGAGCATTACGACTTCGGCCATGATAGCGAGCTGGAAGCTAGGGTAGAATCCTGCGGAAAACGGCATACAAACTCGGCCACGATGTTCCGGTTCTTCTCAAGTTCAAGCTTCCGACTACACAGGCGTCTTCGACCGATCGTCCACACTGCTCGCTGACTATTCCACCTCCCAATGCACTCTCTGTGTTGCACATTCACACCCGTCTGGCAGGCTCTGGCGCTCTCGGCCTCTTTCGAAGCACATGCCCACCAACGTTCGTCAATCGTGAGATTGAGTCTCTCCTGTCTGTGTTTCCCTAGCGTACACTGTACACCAAGACTGGCCGCTACCAAGTGGGCTGCCTGCCTGCACACACAGACAACGGAGAAAACACACAAAGCATACCGACGACATGCGATGGTGTCGTCAACTGAAAAGGACTTTTGTGGATGGACTCCTTCCTGCATGGTTTGCTGCATGACCCGCATGCTTTGCTGGAAGCATGGCCGGAAGCCTCCACGAAGGTCTCCTCCATGTCTAGGTAGTTGCTCTTGCCTCGGGGCTTCAGCGAAAGAAATGGAGAGCGATGTAGACGAAGGAGCCTGGAAAATTGAGCCTCAGCGAATGAATAATATGTAAAAAAGGGGAAGTGAGAGGAAGCAAACGCTCCAGAGCAAAGCCGCGTAGAGAGACCAAGAGAGAGCCAGGACGACGACGAGAAAGCACAGCGCACGAAGTGCACCATGCCAATCTCCCTCTCTCCGCGAACAGCTTGGAGCAGAGCCTATGATGGTCTGCAGGTGCTCGTCCATGATTCCCTGCTGGAGACATCACAATTTGGAATTGAACGGCACTCCCGAAGGGCATGGCTTTCTACTGCAATTGCCGGCAGCTTCAAAAATCGACTCTCCACCAAAGCACGGCAGTGTATACTTGCTGCCGCAGGCAGGCTTGGTCCAGTTCTGTCGTGCGTGCATACCTTGAGAAGACATTTAGTCAAAAGGCCCGGGCTTTCACATCGTCCGCGATGAGCCAGTCTTCCGACTCAGTTTTGAGCATTGCATCTGGGATGAAAGAAGGAGGCCCCGCAGCAGCGGGCTCAGACCCTTGCCTCGTAACGCATGTCCCAGATGCGAGCCATTTCCTTCCAACTTAATTACGAGTAGCTCAGAAGAGTGCGAGGAGGAAACCAAGGCGGGCCAGCCCACCATGACGCACAGTCTCTGCCTGCTTCACCTTGAGCCAGTTGGGATCTTTGTCCAAGTCCACGTCTGGAGCTTCGTCTTCCTCCTCCACATCCGATTCCTGCACCACATCTCGACAAAAGCGCACCACCGTCTCACGTGTGAGAACGCGGGCCTCCGCTCTGCGAGCTGTCCGTGATCCTTGCGGAAAGCAGGCAGCAAGGGCGTGTTCACTTTGGCAGGGGATCCGTCCAGGACTTCTCGCCACAGGACCGCCAATCCTTGTGTACCGAGACCCACATCAAGGGCAAGGGGCTGTTGCTACCCAGTGGCTACTACCATAAGCAACATGCACAAAGAGGACATAACGACCGAGTCACCACCGTGCACTGACGAAGTCGATGGGGGCCTCTTGGCCTGACAAACACCGGCTGATTTCAGAACTTGACTCCACAACTCCAGCAACTAGGTAACCAGGGCAGCAGCCAGCAATGAAAAATGTGGCCTTGGCAGGCCATGCTGAATCATTGCCTGATCTTTTCTGGAGCCTGAACTGGAAAAAAGGTTGCTGTCCGAGGTGCAAGGGTTGCCAGGAAAATTGCTGCTGCGAGCTGTGCTGCATTCCTGCTTGACAAAGACAGTTGACTCCAGACAGAGAAAACTGGTAGTGCAACTAGAAAACACCAATGCGACGGCACCAACGGCCTTAGTTGCAACTTTGCATACCCGTGGCGCGCATGACGCCCTGCAGCAGCAAGGCGATTTAATATATCTCTTCACTGTGTCTCCACGTGTCCAATGTGACTAGCCGGCACCTCGTGACAACATGGCGGACACTCCAGAAGTGTTTGCTCTGCCGCTGTCCAAAGCAATGTGTTGTACCGTGCAATCTTCTGTGCAAAACCTTCTGTCGCAACAGCGAGTTCGCTGGCTGCCCAGCCCCGATGGAATGCTTACTGCACTACCCTCTGCCCCAGAATGACAACAGTAGATGCCTATGCCACGTTGCCCTGTGCGGCTTTGTGTGGGCCTTCAGTGCATGTAAAAGCCTCATGTGGCTTTTCTCTGCTGAGAGAGGGACGCACATTGCAAAATTCGATTGGATATGATGGGCATGCACTCCAAGGAACCGAAAGGTGCAAAAGAACAGAAGCTGACGAGCTGCGAATTCTGGGCGGCCGCTGTTTTCATCCATTTTGTTTCTCGAATCTTATGCCGATGGCTGCATCTCTTGCTGCATCCTCGGCAAGTGCCAACGATCCCCAACATTTGCTGACAAAGCCGAAATATGACTAAAGCCGGTTGGAAGCCTCAGCAGCTGACTTTATCATCTGCTTTTGTTTATCGCCCAACTCCTTTTCCTTTTCGGCGATGATTTTGTTCGACCTTGGCATGTGGTCAGCTTGCATAAGCACGGTGCGCAAGTGCACCTCCAAGGAGCAACAGGAAACTGAGGAGCCCCGGAGAAGCGAACCTGTCCAGCTCCCCAGAGATGTACTCCAAACGCTTGGCGACATTGGCCTTCAAGGCTCTACGTGAAAGGACTCAAAAGCTTGAACAACACAGAGTCTTTTGTTTGTGCCCTGCCATGTTGGCTGGCCTTGGCATCGTCGACATTCTGCTTGACCATCACCTTTGAATCTGCATGGTCTTGTGCTCTGTGCTTTGCTACCAGCACTGCGGTTCAAGTATCTGGAATTCGGTCAAGCGTCGGGGCCAACCAGCTTATAGACGACTGCATCTTCCTGAGCACCAGGCAGGCACATCTCTGCAACGAGCCCAAGGGGCATTCTCAGCCTCGATGGAGTCGAACTCCTGCTTCACTAGCTCGGTCTCCTTGTCGGCTGACGAAAGATGGCACTTGAGGCACTTTGAAGCAGATTCCGTCAAGAATTGAGACCGTCCTGCTGCTGAGCAATGAGGCCCATCCGCGCTTCGTAGTCTTTCTGCAGACCTTCCTGCATGCCCTGAGCAGTTTCTGAAGTGCAAATTCCGAACTCACATCCGGATTTGCGCTGACAGTTGAAGCTCCTTGAACTTATCCAACTCCTTCTGCATTTCCTGATACCAATAACACACATTCATCCGGACCAGGAAAGTCTTGCGAGCAGCTGCTTTCTTCGTGCCTGTTCGCTTGCAGGAGCCATGAGACCTCATGAGAGATGAGGCTTCCAGAAGTTACGCAGTCCATAGGCCTTCCGTGCCTTGCCCGGGGCGCCGCGTGTGGGCTCAGGGGCGAACGTGCAAAGCTTGGGCAAGCAGCCTCTCTGGGTGAGTCTAGCTGGGCTCTGGGACGTCATGGGTGACGAGAAAGGGGAAACGGTTAGCGTTGTGGATTGGAAGTGACACGGGTCAAAGCTGATGACTGCTCTCCATGGTCAATGAAGCATGACAGCTTGTTGCTCTCGAAGCCCAGACTCAGACCGGTGAAACGGCGAGAAGCGAAACCGAGGCATTACACGATGGAGTCAAAAACGTCGATACTCTCTTGCCGAACGTGTCCCTTCGCTTGTTGGCCGTAGACGCCGGATTCTTCAAAGCGCTTTCAGCCAGGCACCTCCATTTAGGAGCACTTGACAGGGCATCGCACGTCTGTCCACGAGATTGTGTTGTATTGACCACAAAGACGGCCGCTCGAGCAACTGATCTGCGCCCAGAAAGAGCGCGATACAGAGCCCTTGGAGCAAGTTGGCCCGTCGGCCACAGCCGCAAAGCCACTTTGCTTTGCGAGGATGAGGACTGTACATTCGTTGCATGCACAAGATCCGCTTGGCCAGGACATGCATCTTTGACTGCTCTCAGTGTAAATCGTGGCAAACCTGTCGGCTTAACACCGTGACAAAGCGGCTCTCTAATAATATTTAGTTGATCAGAACTGATCAGCCAACCTCTTTTGGGATGGTACTGGGGCTGTGGAGCAAACAACGCCAGCTCTCTCGGCCGAACTCTTGGAAAAGTTGCTGCAACCACTCTTGCATAAAATGAGCAGCATGGGGATGCAATTTGATCACATCTCCAAGCGGCTGCTGGTGCTAATTCCCGCATTGCCGCTAGACGCGGCCGCCTGGCGGACTAGACCCATGTTATATTTCTTTCCCCTCCCTTGAAACTCCCTTCCTAGCCGTAACTCGTTTCTGCCTGTAAATGTCTGCGCCGAAGTTCGCTCGTCGGGGAGGTCGGGATTGGGTTCTCCCCTCCTTCGGCATCCGCAATGAATCCACGGGTCCCTCTTCGCAACTTCAACGATGCAGGTTCACAAGGGCGCCTCGAAGCTCTGTGGCGACGGTGACATCACCGAGTGGCATCTCGGAATCAGCGACTCCGGCGAACCTAGCGGCAAATCAATTCCACCATCGAACTACTTGGCCAGCTTCTGTTTGGACTCTTGGCCGGCCTGCCAACGCTTGGCATGGGCACATCTCCGAAGTGGTGATCAAGTTCCTCTTGAAGCTCTTGAATCTGCCTGTCCAGGGAATTCCGCGGATACACAACAATGTCTGGGCAACATGCTGACTGCTGCCACGAGGTATAAAGGACGACGAAATGTCCCCCGGCCTCAAATCATCATCGACGTTGGTGTTCTCTGAAGCTTGCGGCATCTCGCCAGTCTCTTGTGATCCCTGCTCGGACCCTGGAATGGGGCTGATGGCCGTCGTGCCTAGAGACCCAAATGTTTCTGGCGCTTTCAGCCGTGGGTCAGATTGCACCCTCGTACCTGGACAGGTGTACAAGCAAGACATGCTGACATGACAAAGCAGACTGCTGACAAGGCTACATCGTTGCACATCACGTGGCTTTGTGTACTACCCGTCACCGCTCCAGCACCGTTCGTCGGATTTCCTGTGTTAGCAACCATTTACCTTCAGAAACGGGCCACCTGCACTGTCGAAGCCGAGATGGCCATCGTCCAGCTCAGCCAGAAAGTCCATCTGCTCAGCAGCATCGAGCGCAAGCATCAACTGCAGACATAGGCTGCAACGCTCTGCACTGCTCCACCTCGCCGTCGATCTTCTGCGCTCCGAAAGTTCCCGTGACCGTAAGCAGTAGTTCCGGGCTGCGGAAGAGGTTCATCAGCTGAGCAGGACTTGTCACTTAGCAGGCTGCATTTGCTGCTCACCAACCGTCCTCAGGCCTGGTAGTACAGCTTGAATTCTGTCTTGAGCAGGTGCTGGATGCGGGCAATGTAAATTCCGTTGCACAAGTCCTGATACGATGGAGCCACAAAGCTCAATCTGGCATGCGGGCAAATGTCCTGCAAGAGCTGAACGTCAGGAAGCTCCTACATTTTGGCTGAGGCTGCTCAGGTTCAAGCAGCAACGGCGGTTCCAAGCCTCGTAAATAGCCCGCTTGGATGAATCCTGGAAGCTGAACACTTGCAGTCACTTGCAACTGGCCAGCACCAGCACCAGCAGCACTGTACAGAACTTTATTATACTGCTGGTCGGAGCGGGTACTGGTACTGAATGATGAATGGTCATGATTGGGCCTGCCAGGTAGTCACTATTGTTGTCTAGCATTCCATTCGCGCCGTCTTTGCTGGTTGTTGTTGCAGGCACAGCTTCTGCAAGGAGCCTGCTTGTGAAGATGTCGTCGACACTGTTGGTTTTTCACGGCTCTGCACTCTTGCTGTAGGCATTCTACTCAGTTACTTTCACCGCAGTGATTTGTTGAGCAATGTGGCAACCCACCTCGAGTCACAGTGGAATCATCCCAGCGACAGCACTGAGAGCACAAAACACTGCCGACGGCACCTGGAACACGAGTCGAAGGAATCGGCCAACCGCATACACCACACCTCAGTCTCCCTCTCGCTCTCTCGCGCTCTTTCTTTTCATCTTTTTCTCCAGTTTCAATTCAAGGGATTGGCCCCCTTCCCCACACTCCTGTGCACCCATGAGCTGTGGCGTCTACATGGGTCGACTCATGAGCCTCCACTCCAGGAAACAGAACCTTGGGCACTCCTTAACCCGCCCCTCAAGCAGCCACACGGCGAGGGCACCACACTTGTTGTAGTAGCTAGGTGCGGCTTGCAGGGGCCCACGATGGAAGTTTACTTAGTTACTCCACGTTACACTGTACCTGCCGCCTCAAGTGTAGTACTATCTCCGCAATATGCCTCTTGCATTCCTGCGGTTCTCTGACTCTGAGAGGCCCGGCCCAGGTAGATGCCCATCACACCCCAAGAACCGGAGTAGCCCATGGGTGCAGGTGCACTTTTCTCGCTGGCTACCTGGCATTTTCAGGTTTGCCAAGCTGCGCAGTTCGGCCGATAAGGCTTGTGCAGTGCACAAGAAGTCGTCCCTTGCCATCGCCAAGACGCACGCATGTTCAAACTTGCCGCGGAGAGACGAATTGTGAGATCCGGCAGTCCACTCTCGCCTGGCCTCTGCCTTCAAACGCTGCTGTGGCAATGCTTGTTGCATCTTGGGGAGGTTCCTCTTCGCATTTTCCTGCGTATCTTCCTGCCTTCGCTGTCCGAGGATCCAGCCTGACAGCGTCTCGGAGGATGTTTTCGGAAGCTCACTTCGACTGCTTGCATCTTCCGTGTCGGAGGGTGCCTGCTTCGCCCAGCATTCTGGGGAAGCTTTTGACAGCAACCAAACTCCGCGCACAGGCGCCTTGGCTTGCTCGTGGGACCCCGTCTCAGTCTTAAGTCTTCAGACCAAACTGCGTCAAGCCGCTGCGCGAAGTTGGCTGCCGCGATCTCGGCCATGCGAGTGCCTGCAAGAGCTTAATGGCACAAAAAGGAACATGAAACGCCTGCCGTGTAAAGGGCTGAGCCCCGGCACCGGTGCACGCCGAATTCGCTGGATCGGAACGTGAGCAGGAAGTCCATCTCCTTGCCCGTGTACTGCGCCTGGCATCATGTGCAAAACCAAACTCGGGAGTCAAACTGTCACAATCGACGCCTCCAAATTCGAACTCACCCGCAAGGTCTTGGTTGTTGCTTGTGAAATGAAGATGGGATCCTGCCGAAGGACGGGCTTCAAGCAAGTGGCTTTACGCTCGCTCCTCAAGGGCCAACACATTCGCTTGAACTTGAACTCCGTCCTCTTGTATGTCGGACAAGTCCAAGCTTTCCTGAGTGCATCTGCTGTGTTCTCTCGAGACAGCCGTGGCAAAATCGGTGAGCCAAGCCGCATTGACGAGCCTGCCAAGCTGAAGCGTCCTTTGGGCTTGGAGATCACTGTGTGCAGATAATCCCATTTGCCCAACTCTTCAATCGTTCTGAGAGCCCGGCGCATTCTTGCTAAGCTTGACTCCTGAAGAACGGGTGCTCCGGCAAACATCACACGGCACAGCGGATTGAGCAAACGAAACGGCACGGGGCGCTCTATGCCCAGCTATGCTACGCACATTTCCATGCCATAATAGATTGCATGCAAGGGTCTTCTGGGTGGAAGTTCTGCCCTCTTGCTTTGACTAGTGTCGCCATTGAAGAGCAAGACATACCTTAGGAAAGAGATAAGGCAACCCCAGGAGATGCCCCAGGCAAACCGAATGCAGCATCTTCCTACAGAGCCAAAAGCACAGAGTGAGCCACCAAGCAACTCTATTTCTATCCAAGCAGTGACATCCGGATCACCTCGGCTTTCCTGCTCGCTGAAGAGCACGCAACAGCCAGTCTTCTGCGATCGCGTGTCTTCGCTGATGGATCGGATGCTACCATGCAGCTTGGTTGCTAAGGCTTTCCGTGATGCGCGCCGCCAGGCTGGATGGGTCGGTAGAGTCGAAGCTCCGCTCGGATTCTTCCACCCACGTCACCTTGGCAACAAGCCATATCACGAGAGAATAAAGCTTTGGTACACCCTGCATGGACCGTTCTTGCAGCAGCTGCAAGGAGAGGATAACAACTGCATTCACTCAAGGCTCTGGCATTGGACGTATCCATGCGAGACCTCGGTTCGGCATTGGGCTGCGGGGTGGCAAATGTGCTTTTTCCCTGCTTTCGAGGAAAGGGCATATCTCCATGCTGCCACACGTCCGCGGTGATGGAGCTTTGGCTTCCTCACGTACACACACCCACACACACACACATCTACCTTCCATCGAAGTCTTTTGGATTGTGCTTGGACTTGGCCTTCAAAGAGATGCAACTTTCTGATGCCCTGGACAGCATCGCGGCATCGAGTGCATGGCTTGCTCCCATGAGAGAGGTTCTGGACTTCGGCCTGGTCGCTTGACTGAACCAGCAGAGTTGCAGTCAAAGTCCCAGATGTCAGTCGGTTGGACTGCCTCAGCAAACACGAGCCCGAACCGCGACCCTTCAATCGCAGATCGTCAAGCCATACAGAGACCTAGCAGCCACATCAAAACCTGAACCTAATCACTCATATCACTCCTGCTGCCATAGTGCAGGCTTGGGTTCAAGGAAGAAAACAGCGCAATCGGACCGACCTGAGATGCTGAGATGCGAATTGAGCTCCGTAACAGGCTGCACTGTCAGACATGGAATCAATGGCAAGACGATGCATACTCCAAATGTGCTGTTCACCAACGTAAGGCAAAGGAAACAAGATTGACTCTGTCACCTTTCGGGCTCGAATTCGTTTCGTATTGTGGAGTATTGCGAGCATCGAGTCTGCTGTAGCTGCTTTGCACAGGGAAGCGGCAATGAGGAGAGCCAGCCCCACGAGCAACAATCCGCCTTGAAGAACCTGCATGCAAGTTGGACACGTGGTAGGCATGTCTTCGCGGCCAGCAACACGTGAGAACAGACGGCTTCTTGGGCGTCTCAGTTCTTGTCTCTGGCCTTCTCCCATGTTGGCCGTGCTGCTGCAGGAGGATACCAACGACGCATGTGAAAGTCTCGCTTTGTCCTGCACATCTGCCAATGATCGTCAGCATCGCTATGGAGACTTGGACTGGCTGTGTCCTGTAAAGCCCCTGCTGCGCATCCTAGGGTTGAACCACCCGACAAGCGATGGCTGCAGATGACTGTGCTCGCGGCACCTCCAGCTTCATCCACATGAAGAAGTCCATGGAAGTCCTCAGGTAGGGTGCTCTGATGCTGAGAGTCGCCGAGAGCATTCAAGGCCCCAACCTTGTCACAGTCCAGTCTGTCAGCACTCGCATCTCCTCCACGAAGGGAACCGCCAGATACGCCTGTAAGGCTTCGTCCTAAACACTCTCAAGCTTCCACAAGTGCTTAAGCGACAAATGACATGATTGCAGGAACTCAAAGGCCTTGAATGCCACAGAGTAGAAGAAGTTCATGCTGTGAGTCAGGCCCAACCCACCGCTTGTGACATGAACATCATACCTGCCGAACAGCCGAACAAGCCAACAAACTCAATTGCACCCGATATCGCAATGCTGTCTCAAACGATAACATTATGCATCACGGACCCGGCTGCAAACGCTAAACGCCTGAGCTGCAAGGAAGTGAGAGCCAAGTAGAGCATGAAGAAGACGTAGAACAGCATCTGTCAAGCATGGCTCAGATGCGTCTACGGCATGCCTCTTGCGCAAAAGACGCGCCTGGATGGAGTTTGTCATCCTGCTCGTATCAAAAGCCGCCAGGCCATTTAGGTCTGCTTCGATAACTCTTGCACCGCAAGCAGATCCGCAGTTTAAGGCTCGAGCAGACGGAAATCCGTGACATGCACAGCTTACAACAGCGCAAGTCTTACTACCACTACTTGTAGTTGTGCTTCCATTATGGAAGGGTTTTGGATGCTCCGGACATCTTCCGATTTGGATTTGGCGTTCCTCGCGGTTTGCTGCCTGCATGGGAGTCCATGAGGGTTTAGTAGATTTTTCAGCTTGCCTATGAGGTGCTCAAGGCTTCAAACGTTTTGTGCCTCTCGAATTCGAGAACTGACACCGTCATTCTGCGTGTGGTTTTTGGCTTTCGGGCTCCGAAATGTTTCGAATCTCTCGAGGTCGGCTCCATGATTTCTCGCGGCCTTCTGTTGGGGCTTAGACCAATGCTCTCCTCGGGTCCGGATTGCCTGGGGTGTTTGGCGGTTCTCGATTTTCTTGATGAAGATCGTTCCAGCTTTAAGGCCATTGGAAAGACTGTTTGTCATTGTCGTTTTCTGCATTCGCTTTGGCGTCCTCGGCTGGTAGGTGGTGCTGCTGGACCACCTCGCAAACAAAGGACTGCCTCCTCTGCCTCTGCATGCCTCTGCAGTATGTGTCCGAACTCAGTCACCAGCCGCACGATGAAGAAGGAATGCAGCGTCACCAGCTCCGTCAAAAGGATTATCCTCTCTAGCTATGGCGGGCAATGCCGTTGAGGTATAGCACTGCAGATGTGTCGTTGACCAAGCCTCTACGGCTCGTGACAAAACAGGGGAGCTGATGTGCCCGGTCCTCTGGGCGAAGTACATGATGAGATTCATCGTGGGCTGCAAATTACGCTCCTGGCGAGAAGCGACACAACGATGCGACGTAAGCTCGAAAGGTCTACAATGGTTTGCCCTGTTTACTCTCTTTCGGCCGCCTCGCTTGGCTGCACCGGGGTTCCTCAGGGAGGATTTGATGGCAGAAACCAAAGGGTGATGGCGCGCAAACGGCAACGGCCTCCTGTCTCGGAGCGGCACCCATTCTTCTCCTCCTGCTGCTCTTTGCAGAGCTTTGTAGATGCAACTCCAATTAATTCTGTCCGGGGTTTGTTCAGCTTCGCTGCGATGCTGTGGGGCTGGTATACTGCCTCCTACAGGCTCCCTAAACATGCAATGTCACATGAGCCCCTTGGACAGTCTTTCTATCTCGTGCCTCACGGGACTATATCGCAAAAACTAAGCGCCGAGAGCGAGCGCAAGCGCCTTCGCTTGGAACTGCCAGCCGTCAGGGCCTCAGCTGTGTCCGAAATCTGCGGTCTCAAGGAGCGCGGCAACGCGAGCTTTTAGCGGCCTTTCGCGGCTTTCTGAGCTGCGCACCTTTGGATCGGTGCTGCGTGTACCACGTGTACTCTGCTCTCGCTTCCACCAAGAGCCCGATAAAAAGAGCCACGGCCATCACCTCCAAACAACAAAGATGGTCCGTCATGACTCTATGGCTCTATGGCTTTGGTGTTAGTCTCTTACTCCGAATGTGCCTGCTTGCCACTGAAGCTGCTAGAGGAGAGGGAATCTGCGAAGGATTCCCTATTGTCCATCAGGCTGTTCCAGCTGATCAGCACAATGCAGAAGCAACACCTTGCAGCCACCCAGTCGCACTTGCCCCGACCGCAGATAGCTTCACTCGGAAGCGGGCATCATCAACCCAGCGCGCGGGGCGAAAAGGTCCATGGCAGGTTTTCGCAGCCCGGCAAAGTCGAGACAGTCCCTGCAAGAGAGCAGCCGAAGAAACCCCAAAAAGGAAGCGGAAAGCCCCACCTCGCATCGCGGTGCAGCGCCTCGCGACAGGAGACGAGGCACAGAATGGTTTGAGGACGAGAACACAGCCGCTGTCGCGGTGAGCATGCCCACACTTGCCGACCGAGCCTTCGTAAAGCTGCTCGCCGCCGCCGTGTCCGAGACAGCCTGCCTAAATCGCAACGCAAGCTGCTGGCCAAGTATCTGGCGCTTAGATTCAACTCGTGTGGTAACCAGTGCTGACCATGCGAATGGGAACCAAGAAGAACAAGGCTCCAACACTGCAGTTGCGGCAGTCGTTGTCAAGCGCTTGTGTGGTGCACGCCTTTCCAGCTCGAAAGAAGAGGACAGCCCGAGGTTACGGGAAGATCCTTATTGGGTTTCGCTGCGAAACCTGAGGTTCAGGCGAGGCCGGGCCAAAAGGCGATGGCACTGTGAGATGCCGCCTGAGAATCAAGGTCCAACGAAGCCACATGCTCAGAAAGCAGGTGACCGATGAAGTCTCGGGAACCCAGCTTGCCGTGCTCACACTTCTGAGTCGGTGGATCCTGCTGCCTCATCCCGGCAGAATTCCGCCAGGCTATGCATGCCGAAACTGAGGCAGCTTGTGCAAACGGAGTGCTTCCTTCGCATGTCGTCCAGAGCTAGCCTGCGGACGGTGACCGACGGCCCCTAAAGTACCATGGGAACAATCATGGATCATGCCCATCGCCGCCTTCGACAAATGTGCGCAGGATTGCCCAAGCGGCCGCTGTGACGAAGCGTGTGCCAATGGCAGACCTTGACGTGATTCTTCAACATGGCTCGCTTGCCTTGTTCCCGTACTCAGGTCACCACAAGAAAGAGGCACACGAGCAGATCAGACCACCTCAGAATGCGGAATTTCCAGCTCTTGTGTTTTTGATGCCTGAAGTCTGCAGGTCCGGTTGGACTGTCTCAAGCGTGCAAGCTGCAACCCAGCCACAGCAGGCCCAGCAAGGAATGGCCGACCAGTCCCCGTTCTTCCAACTCTCGAACCGCATCTGTCACCAACACCTGTGAGTCTGAAAGCTGCGGCGCGCAGGAGTGACGGTGCCAATGCAAAGATTAGTGATTTTCTGTACCAGCTGCTTTGCCTCTTCGTTGTTCTGGCCCGGCAGTGGGCCTGCGGGTGCCACCTTTGCACGCTTTGTCCGTTGACAGATGCGATGAAGGTCGTTTCACCCCCCCACTGCTTCAAGAAGAGTTGTGTCGGAAGAGCTGCATGTTGCAGAATAAGCTGTGCAGGCCTTCTCCAGGCCCAGGACTGATTCCCATGGCACTGGTACTCCATTCAAGAACCCACTTTGCATATCAGCCTGGCAGCAGTTGTTCCTTGTACCACGGAGCAGGAGACCTCGAAGTGGGCCTGCCTTCAGCTGCACGTAATCGAAAGATGTGGGAAAGATCGGCAGCTGGTAAAGTACCTGTGCCAAGCTAGGCAGGAAGTCGTCAAGACCTTCGCAAGTACAATCCTGAAGCAAGAAGCATGTCTGCCACCCCCACCCACAACAGGCCCGCAAGACCACCCCCTCACCATGCTGACCTACCAAACCTGAAACTAGCTAGGACTCTAAGACTGATGCACCGCCTTGAGCAGCACGATAGTGAGGTTGAACATGATGAGCCCCTTCCTGGGTTCTTAATCACGAGACATGAGCTCAGCTTAAGCAGCTTGATTTGGTCTTGTGGAGTGCATGACCGTTAAAATTTAAACCCAAGCATCCAGAACCTTGGATGTGGATGCGGGAAGGTCATCAAAGACACCACCAGAGTGCACGATGTCACTGCTGAAAGCACGCATGTGTACATCGCGAAGTGTACCTGAACCCCACAAGCCAGATTTGGCCATGCTTTCGCAGTACTATGCCAGCAGGACAGACACAAACACCGCAGGGCACGACAGTGAAGATCATCAGAAGCAGGAGCGTTTGAGACCAAAAGGCCTGCAAATCCAACGTCTGAAAGCCATTCTCATCTAGGTGCACAGTCCTTTGCCTGAGATGCGCGGCATGGCATGAAGCTTCTGGCCTTGTACAGGAGTGCTGCCAGGCTGTCATGCCGCCGGTGACTTTGCAGTGTATCTTCCTGGGCTGCCCTTTTGAACGAAGCAGGTGCACAGCATATCAAGAACACCGCAGCCTGTATCCACACAAATACACAAGCAGGCCACGCAGGTTGACACCGATGAAGAACATAGTGTGCACACCAATAGCATCAGTTTTGCATCCAAAGTTGCCGGGTCATAGGTGTAGAGGAAGTCATCCACCAGTAATCCCAGTGCTCCACGTGCCATTTCCAAGCATCGAACCTGTGCCCGCTTGTACTGTACGGGACTGCCATGGACTGCCTGGCTGGCACGTCGACCACCTTGACATCGGCAAACAAAGCCTGCTTCTCCTTGCAGCTGCAAGAAAGCAGAAGCTGCAATGCAAGCCGCATCAAGCCGCGAGCAGGACAGGACATGCAGCCGCTCACGCTCTAGGTGCGCAAGTCTCCTTCGCCGTACCAGTCGCGAGAAAGCCATCACCAAGCAAAGAATTTTGCCGGCGGTATTTGCTCCTCGCGAGGTACGCCCACTCCATGCGTGACGACATACGGCCAACCATTTTCTCAAGGTTTCGTCCAACTCAAGTCCACCGCGTCCACTCTTCACCTCGCCTGCGGAGAGCAGAGGCTTCAGACTCCGTGGGCACTTCGGCGTCCTCCTTAGGTCCGTCTCTTCACCGCCGAAGCAATGCAAACTCTGCACTCCATCTGTTGTAGCCGTCTTCCTCCCTTCCACACTCCTTCCTGCCCGAGTGCCTCGAGTGAACAACATGAGCTGAAGCTGGTGATACAAAAAAGCTTGCAAGACCTCGATTGACATCCGATACACAAGGGTATGCTTGTAAAGTCCAAAGACATTGTGAAGCATCAGAAGAAACAATTGTATTCTTGTAGTAGTAATGCGAGTCCGATTTCCCATACATAGCCAATTGATGGAAACCGTGTCAACAACCTTGCAACAGTACGATGAAATTATCATTTATACAACCATGAAGCACCGCATGAAACAGTGCAGATAAATATCAGAACCGTTATACTCCGCGTCCTTGGCAATTCGAGAAGTAGGTCGAACAAAAAGCTTCCCCTACACGACAAGAGCTAGTGGAGTTTCCCAGGCGATTCTCAAACTATGGTCTGAGTAGTGACCCAGGAGTTTGGAACTGTTCCAACCGAATGGCCCAACTTCAAGTTCAACGGCATGATGTCAGGGAGTGCAAACCTGATTGAACGAAACTGCCACATTCTCTTGATGCAGGCATCAAGGCTGAAGACGATGTAAAATCAGTATGCCAAGAAATCATGGCTAGATGAGTCTGAGACCTATATGGTGCATCAACGGAGATGCATTCTACGAGATGCTGTTGTTGCTTCTGACAAAGAAATCGTTTCCAGAGGCGGGGAGGGGAGGGGTGTGGAACAGCCTGGAGCGGGCAGGATGGCAGGATACCTCTCGAGTTAAATTGCAGAAGAGATTGCGCGAACCCATTCTCTGATTGAGCTCATCCATAACTTCTGTTTGATCTCTCTAGCTGCGGTCTTGACAAGAACATCGGACGACAAGCTTGGATGGTCTTTGCCCTGATCATGTCGCTCAGGGTTTTAAATCTGGGAAATGTAGGACGTGCCAAGATCCGGATGGATTAATCTTTGTCGACTTGCTTCGGCAACTTTGTCCTACACAATTGTGCGAAGTCCTCCATGTCTTTTTTGGCGCCACGGGAAAACGCTGTCGGAACCGCGTACCCTAGTGGCGTGTCATGTGTGTTCTGACAGGCTCTTGTGGAATCTGCTTCCTCTAGTAGGGACCCAATCGAATGCACACGTTCCAATTGCACAGGCTTTGAGCTTTGAGCGAGGGGCTCCAGCTGCTTCCTCCGGGATGCCAGTCTGCAACGTGGCACTGCCCTCTTGCACCTCAGGCAAAGGGCTCCCAGGAAAGCGGTTACCTGCTTAGCTCGGCTCGGCAGCCATGCCTGTGATGCCTGTGGTGCAGCTGCTGCATCCTGTACGACCTGCTCACATCCAAACTTAGGGGTTTCGGAGCGTTGCGGAATAGGGAGCACCTCTCCGGCCCGAGCACATCTCTCCAGCAGTGAGGTCTTCCGCTCCGACACTTCCTCAAGAAAAGCCGGTGTCAGAGAACTTTCTGCTTTCTGTCACCTGCTTCTATCACAAGGAAGCCGCTTCGACGCGGAATCCCGTCCTTAGCCGAGATCCGACGTAGCCGCTGCAGCTGGAGATCCTGAACGGGTCAAGTATCCATGGCACGGCTCAGACTCAGATAGGAACATTAGCTCATTAGCTCTTCAGCGGATCTGTCCACTTTCTGCACCTTGAGGTGCTCGCAAACGCATTGATTTATCTCTTCCGCCGCTTCGATCCGGCTCACCTGCAGACTAACCAGCTATTCCAAACGAGCACAGAAACGAGGAAGAGCAAAGCCCAGGTGTACAAGCAACCGTTTTTCTCCAGACCCGGGCTCTCCCGCAGCAAGGCTCTTGGCCAGAGTGCCGAGATGTGCCGAGTTCGAGAACTTCTGAAGAGAAGCCCTGCCACACTGTCTCGAATGGGCTCTTTTGTCGTGTTTGCGACCTTCCCCTTCCATGTCTACACGCAGCATTGCTGCACCGTTCGCACGCACGGCTCCGAAGTCGCATCTGGCATTGGCAACCCAGAGATCAACAGACGAACGGAATGAATGACTTGGTAGAAGCGGCATATTCAGGCCAGTCACTGCTATAGCGCTTGGAAAGATACTGCTCCTTGTCTGGGATATGGTAGAAATAGAAGGAGGCGGCCATGGTTGCAGGAGCCCACAGATTCCACCAGCATCCCGTGGTCACTGCCCAGCCCAAGAATAGAACGACGTCACCAAAGTAATTTATGTTCCGACTGAGGGAAAAAAGTCCAAGAGTGTAGCAACGGCCCTTGTTTTCAGCTCTAGCCTTCCACCATTTTCGTTGGAGCTCTGACCATGTGTTGATCCAGGATCCCAAGCAGTACAAACACACAGCCAGGCAACATGTCATCCAGTCAAGAGTGCCTTTCAGAAGTGCACCAACAGCGAATGAAACGAGTATACTCATTATCCAAAGGATCACCACTGTGAGCTCTTCTTGCGCTAGCTCTCGGGGCAACAACCATCGCACCATAGCGTTTAGGCGCAGCATGTACGCAACGCCAAACGTAAACAATAACGTGCAACGCCAAGCGTTTTTAGTATGACCCGGCCACTGCACCTCTGGACACAGCAGCATCCACCCGTAACAGCCGAGCACGAACAGGGACTCAAGCGCAAACACGTTGGCTCGCATCATAGAAGATCGCGGCGTGCTTCGAATGTTTTCAGGTCCGTCCGCCATTGCTTGGTACTCCACTGCCACGGCCATGGGCGCAACTGGCAGTATGGGCGTGACTCCATGCGAAGACCCTGCAGGATCGGAGTGGAACACAGCTGGCGATGAGAGAAACAAGCACTGTACGGTTGAGGAGAAACATCTTCTTGCGGACGTGGCAGCCTCTACGACCTTGGCATTGTTGCTGCAGATCTCCTGCAGACAAGACAGCTTGCTTCTCTCGCAATAGTTTGCATTCAAACAGTGCGCCATCGATGCCTCCTCTGCCATGCCTGCCTTTGGGCCCGGGCGACATTCTGCCGGACAAGCAGGCAAAAACAACACCATGCAGCACAGAGTCTTTCCGCATGAAGCTTCTGGCGCCTTCTGGTGCACTGTCCATCTTCAGGAGCTCGCCGCAAGGCCCTGCGGCTTTGGCTGCTGCTTGGACGAAGGCCTCACGGAGTGTTCTTCGTTGAAAGTGTGTGCTGCCACTGATATCAAGGAATCGGTGCTGCACTGCGCAGCATTGCCTCCAGTACTGGCTGAACTGCAGCAGGTGGAAGCCCAGAGGAGAGGCACAAGTTGTGGATGCGATCCTCTCTTGCCCTGAGAAGGCGATGCGGGGCGTGTCGAAAGCCTTTCTCCTTCCACAACCGGCTTCGGTGCCTCTGTGACCGCTCCTGGGTTGTCAGCTCGCCACGTCGATTTTGCCAAATGGCCCTCAGCCTCAGAGAACATTCTAGTTTTGGAACCCTCGTATCCTACGGCAGCAGCTTGAGAACTGGGATCTGCATGAAGCGGCGAGACTGCAAGAAAAGATAAGAGACCCATATACAGACAGGATGAAGGCTAAATCGAACATGCAAGGCAAACACACCGCTTTAGTTACCGATTGCTACGCATGTAAAGTCCGGTTCAGATCACGGGTAATTTCCAGCTGGGAAGTGAAATCTCTGAAGTTACCACTCCCCGCGGGCCGCAAGTCATGACCTAGCTCATAGGAACTTAGTAGCCTTTTTGACTGTTGTTTCCTATCCGGATTTGCCTTTGATCCGTTTCTTGCCATATTTTTGTCTGTAAAACTCTGTAAACCCTTTCTTAAACCAGTGATTTCCCGATGCAGGAGGGTTCCAAGTCTATCTGAGTCATTCTGAGTCGACAATAATCGAACGGGACATGTTGAGCATGCGGCTCAGTGATGAAGCCAGTGAGACACCGCAGCTTGACCAGTAGAACCTGATTCCAACACGGACAAGCCAAGTCCAAGTAGCTGTGGATACGGACAGACTGCAGCGCATCAGCACACGCTGTACGAAGCAAGTGAACACGACAATAACACCACTGATGCACCTTGTGTTTTGTGTCGATCCTCCGCAGTTCCAGGCGTCGCCAATGCAGCAAATGCTCCTCTCAGGCGTCAGCTGCGAAGTCGGTGTTGAAGCGCCGAGAAAGTAAGAACAGTAATACGAAAGCGATCTTTCAAACCACGCAGAGCCAAAGTGTCATAGGCCGACTGATGACGAGAACCGGTGTCCTGGTACCAGCGCTCTCGTAGGTCAATTCTTTCGATCTGGCAAGGATCGGAGTTGCCCTCCTACGGCCTTTTGCTCCACCGTTTCCCCTCGGATCCCTGGCTCAAGCCTGGTTCTGGTTCTCTGCTTGGAACTCTCCTTCCCATCGCTCGAGGGCGAGTGCCTCTGCAGCTTCTGCGGAAGTCAAGATCTCCAATGTGCCGACGGTGGCTTTCGGGCATGCAGTCAGGCTTGGCTCATGTGAACTGAGACCAGCAAAAACTGTCCTGAAGGTGCCATGATGTTTCTTGTTCAAGCTTGAATGCAACAACCAACATACCTGCATTGTGCATATCCTGAGTACAAGTCACGCCCGAATTCAATTGCATTGAAAACTCATCCTTACATGTATCTCAGTGGTGTGACACATCAGAGAAGATCGGTCCTGCCTGCAAGTTGGAAATGAGAAAGATCACAAATATCCACAGGTTGGCCCAGCTGAAGCTGACACCTGCACGCTGCAGCACTGCACAGCCACCAGTCAGTTGCTCCAACAGGCTAACATAGCATTGGAATGCATTCGGACGACGGAACAAACTAATTTGACAGTGTCTTCAGTCAGTAAAGCTGCCGGTCGCTGCTTCAGAAGAGAAGCTGATCGCCCTGTTGTGGCCTTCTCGGAACTTCTGCACGCCAAGGCTTTGGAGCAGAACCGTGAGCGGTCGCCCTCAGAGCTGAGATATGCTGAGATGCGTCCAATGAATCGAGCCACTCTGAAGACTTGGGTTATGGCAGCCGGCCCGCCAGGCAGTGCTGTCATGCGCAGCCAGTCTGGGTGGCCAAAGGCACTTTGCACTTTCCTATGACCGAGTTGCATGCAGAGTTCCTTTGAGCTGCACACAGTCTGCAAACGTCCGGAGAAACGAAGAAAGTCTCCGGGCAGGTCTGGCAAAAGGGAAACCAGTCTCCCCGATCCAAACCGGAATGTACCGAAGCCGTTGCTTTGCCTTCTCGCTGCAACCTGCCAGTTCGACCGCCTCAGATGCCATCAACGGACGCTGACGCGATCGCGACTGTCGAGAATCATCCTGCATCTTAGGTCGCAGCGTAAGCGCAAGGCACCACAGGGGCTTGGAAACACACTAGCAGGAAGGCCACCACCTGAAATCCAGTTGCAGGGTTCAGCAAGATGTGCTCGCCTGACAACCCAGGGTCAGGACCACATTGTACGTGCGGATCCACTTGTTGACTCTCATGCGGGATGTCCAGGAGGATCCGACTATTTGGACCTCATGCACCGGTGCTGAGATTGTTACAAACCCAACGCTTTCTGCCTGTTGCCTTGCCACCGGAGGACAAAAATGTCAGCCGCTCACACTGTGGGGTTCTTGTCATGCTGGCTTTGGCAGACTAGATTTGACCATGAGTTGCTGCAAGCCCTAAGACCGAGCTCGGCACACTCTCCATGGAGAAGATGTGCCAAACGAGAAGGGTCAGGTAGCCTGGGCGGCACCACAAAGCCATTTTTCCAAACCCGAAGCACCGCGCAAAACACCTTGTGCGGCTAGTGGCCCAACGAGATGATGCTGACATGGGGCTGCCTTGGCACATCCCAGATGTGAGTTTTACACCTCTTGCTGCTCTCGACCACTATCACTATATGATGCGTAGCTTTGACCAAGCCGGGGGAACTGTTGCTGCATGGGAGAGTATGCTTTTCTGTTAGGTGCGGACTTAACCGCATCGAACTGAGTCTCGGCCACAACCCTGAGAACCCAAATTCCAGCTACCTCCGGCGAAACAGGCTGACCATGGAGGCGCGCGGTCTCAGAGGACGTCGAGGCACAGCATCGTCCGCGACGTTCCCAACCGCATGTGCGCATGCAGAGCGCGGACGCCACGCGGGACAGCTGGGGCAAGAGACGGCAACCCTCTGTTTGGTTCAATGCAGCAAAACCTTACAACCTCGGTGAGCGGTGCCGAAAGCACTAACAGAAACTTCGATGCATCTGTGCACGCTGATTCCAAGTCAGATTCCAGCGGTGTCTGTCCCTTTTATGCAGCCCTTGGAAGCGAATTCAAGCTTGAAGGCCTTCCGGGCCCCTTCCGATTTCCGAGTTGAGGCGCTTTGTGGGACTTTCGTATTGCCTTCGAGTGCGAGTGCGATGTGCTCAGTGAAGTGAGACAAGACGACCAGGATGCGTGCTGCTGCACGTAGCTGTGCTTGTGACATAGCTTTCAGCATTTTGGATTTGTCTCTGCTTAAATGACCTGTGTCAGTGCGGCAATGTGCAGCACGAGGGGCTGCACTGCTGCCAGGGCCAGCGAGATGTTCAGCATTCCAGACATCCATCGTACAGCTGTTCGCCTGATGACAATGCCATCCGAATGGTCCTTTGACATATTTGACATGCTGGATTTGAGGAGCTGGCGGCGTGATTGTCATGCATCGCTGCTTCGAAGTCGACTCCTTGAAACATGCAGCGGAGCACCCAGCTTCATGCCATGGATGAAAAAACACATACCTCGGGCCTGCGAGATGGAGTCGTCCTGCAAAAGCAGTCTTGAACTTATCGTGCGCAGTAGCCCCACCCTCCCTGAAACCATCCCCACTTGCTGCCGAAACGATTCAAGGGTTAAAAGTGGCTTTTACCGGGCCAGGGCCTCTTCACCCGGACCCGGGGATGCGCCGAAAGCTTCATCCTCGCCCTCGGCATGGTCCTCCTGTACGGCTAGACCCTTCATGCAGAACGGGTGTCAACAGAAATATGTGGAAGCAGGAGAGCTCCTCAGGAGTCGTCCTTAGTGTGCCAAGTACGACAACGTGTCAAATATGTGCAAGCAACGGGCCAGTTCCCTTGCACTGAATCTGCGATGACAGGCAAGGAACGACCTGGCTCTGCCTCGTTCCTCTTTGGCTTGGCCTAGCTGAGTGAGGCAGAGGTGCCGAAGCAGGCACACCTAAGATGCACATTGCATCTCCCAGTATGGTGTAGTGCTTAATCCGAATGCTGCAGGGTGCCGCCATGCACGTCCCCTTTAACAAGATTCTTGCACTCGCCGTAGGTCGCGGACGCAGAACAAAGCCATGAAGGTGAGAGTCACGTCCGTGGAGCCCTGGAAAGCTTTGTCATGCTGCAACCGGCCCTGCCCCATGCCGTGATTGCAGAAACTCACTCGAGAAAGCCTTGGAAGGCAAGCCGAGCCAGGCCATCCAGGTCTTTCCACATTGATGTTGTCTCGAGCAGCCTACAGGAACAGTCTTCCATCAATCGCCGAAGGAGTGGTGACTGTAAGGCCAGAACCTTCCTCCTGACATGTCGCCGGAAAGTCCAGCACGGTGTTGTTCCCATAGGCCTTCTTCAATCTCTGGACTGGATCCATTGACTGCTGTCATTTGCTCCCCCCGTGCAGCCTGACAGAACCAGCCCGCAACGTCATCAACCGTGGGCTTCTTCCAAATTCCCGGGGGCAACCAAGCCTGAATCAGAGACACGGCACCAAGTACAAGACGCGTGCAAGTGTCCATCCACGGTGCCTCAAAGGACAGCGATGTGGCAAGGCTCCTTACAGTATGACACAAACCTCACAAGCAGTCTGCGGTGCCAGCAGCGGTGTGACGGTGCTGCCGAGCAACAGCGCAAGCCAAAGCACGAAAAACCTGGCAAGGCGGTACGAGTAGCAACTCTGTATCGTCACTCGTGACACCAATGTGTTCATCAGTCTTCGAGTTCTGCGCAAAGCCTCAGCCAAGAGTTTGCCGCGCTTGGGGAGAGGCACCGACGGCTGTCCTACAAGTGAGCGAAGACGGGAAAAAGGTGTCGTCGTTCCAGGGAAAACGGCTGTGCTTTCATACCGCGACTACCTTTCACCGACAAACACTCTGACGGGAGCGTGTTGACAGAACGAGCCTTGCTCGATCTGAATAGGAGCACGCTGCCAACGTAGACTACCGACCAAGCCTTGAAACACTGAATGCCACACCGAATTCCTGCAAACTTGTCGCGACATCAAGACTGCGGCGCTGTTGCAGAAAAGAGCGGTGAGCAACAGCACCTCACTTTTTCGGGTGCTCAAGCTAATATATGGCGTGCTCTGATGTTGCACCGCTTACTCACCTTAATCCTGGAACATCGTAAGACTCAAAGACCTGAAACAGTCAGGCTCTGATCTGTTCGACTGGGTGGCTGACGGCTGCACCGAGTTGAGCACTGTAGGCTACGGTCTCCTGTCAAGGCTGCCCAAAGCAAACGCCCATGACCTACAAGCGTCGAAGATAGTGTCCGGGCATACCACATCATCATATAAAACCATGTTTGTAGCATAAGAATGCAAGATGACTCTTTACCGTTGCCATGAGAGGCGTTATAGTGGAACGTGTGAGACGCCAGGGGCAGCTGAGACGCAAGGCCACTCGAGCCAGGCCTCTGGTTCCCTGCACTGCTCTATGCCCCAGAAACGAGCAGTTCTCTCGCAGCTTCTCAGAGCTCTTCTTGCTCGAGATAAACCTATCCTACTCTGAGCCCACCGCAGCTGATGCTACACAAAATGCCGCGATCTTACTCTCCAGGCGTGCGTACTGGATAAATCAAGGGCACCTGGGCGCAGGACAACTGTACGTATGCAGTACCATCTGAAAAACTTCTGCTTCAGCCCTGTGTTGTCGAGCCACCATCTGATGCATGTAGACGAAGGCCCAGAACAGCCACATGCCTCGCCATGCTCTGCGACAGATAGCGACGGCCATCAGCGGTAGCAATCAGCAGCATATTCAGCATCGTTTATGCAAGAGGTGTGCTGCAAGCAGATGACTGAACCGCTGCGCGGGACAACCATCGCTATTCACACAGGGTCCAGTATCCGTGCGGACGAGGTGCAAGTTGTTCCTGTCACAACAACCACCATTGCCAGCTGGGAGCTCTCTTCTTTCGTTATCCGGGGTGTCTCCTCACGGGTTTGAACCAGTGAATACTAAAACAACAAAGACCACAAGAACAAAGACGAGACGTCCTTGACAAAGCATCGGAAGGCAATCCTCATAGCAATCAGTCCAAAGACCAACCAACCGGCGGAGCCTCGAGGCGGAAATCCAGAGAAAAACCGCGACAACTTCGGCATGACAGAGTAAACATAATGCTCCGAGGTGCCATAAATCAGGCCCGGAGCCATAAACCCATTGCAAACCATTGCACAGCACCACAAGAAAGGCGGCTAGCAGGCTCTTTCCAGTACTAACTTGAGCTACGAGCCCGTTCGCGGATTCCCACAATTTCTGCGCTCGCTCCGATCCAGCGGCGGCCCCAGCACGAAATCCATGAAATTCGCTCCTGTCGCAGTCTTTGGCTTCGGCTTCGTGCCTGCCAGGTGCAAGGATGCTGTCGCGAAACTTTGCAGCTCATGAGGGGCCTGACGATCCATTTCTTTTGCAGCAGGTGAATTAGCCACGCAATGCCTTCGTCACGCATGAATGCAGCAACGAGACGGCTTTGGGGAGAATACAACACTTGAGCTGCCCACAATGCCGCTCGCTTGACTGTTCTCTGAATGATGCCGATCAACAGCAAGGCCATCTCGGCCATGTACCCCCTTGCATGTGCAGAAGCCACTACAACGTCACAGTAGTCAATTGTGGAATCTGAGCGGGCTGCTGATTGTGCAGACCCCAGTACGACTCCACCTCCTGCGTGCAGTCATGTTGCTACACCTAGGCGAACTTGCTTCCGAGCACATTGTCAGCCTCATCTGGAAATGTGATCAGCTTGAAGGTGTAGACGTATTGGACCAAAAGCAAGACCTGTAGAGGACGAAGCAGCAGTTGGCAGTTAGGATCATGTCACCGCAGAGATAGGGTCAAGACCGAGGATGTCAAGGATATAAAGCCACCTGCATAATCCCAACCTCGACCACCTCAGCTAGCCGTAGGTATGCCGAACATCTGGACACCAGGCAAGCACGTGTGGTGGCACCCACAAGAGCTTGTCATGAGATGTCTCCTGTGAAGCCATGCCGAGCTCAGCACTCAGCAGCAGCAGAACTAGAACGGCGAGCTGCATGTGGGATGTGGCGTTGTGACGCCTGGCTGTAGCAATGCATGTGCAATTTCAGTTGACTTCTCTTGTCCTCTCCTGTTGGATCTTGCAACGAAAACGCAACAAAAAAAAACAGTACATAGGTTCTAGTGCAAACCCTCGCGGCTGGTTCCTGAACTTTCAACCACTGGAAGACAGCCGGTTCAGCTGACTCGTATCCTTTTAAAAATTAGCCATCGCCCAGAACCCCAGAACACACAATCCCGTCTAGCAGCAAGTCAGCACGGCGAGAAGATGTACAATGGAATTGCGGAGTTGCGCCAAAACAGCACCACGATTCGTGCAGAGCTCGACCGAGCCCCCAACGGCATGATGAAGTAGCAGGCAAAAATCAGCACGACGGTAGACCACCGAGCTGCCTCTGGGTTTGTCTCGCTCTCCGTTTCTGTTGCAAGGGATCGGCATGAGCTTCAAAATGCTGCGCCACTGCACGACAAGGTAAGACTCCTTTGTTTCTTGCTCTTGGGCATGTTCCACTATGATTCCATGCACGCGACCTCCAGGAGCACAGTCATGAGGACCTGAGCATCGATTGCCGTGACAACTCCGCGATTGTTCAGAATCCAGTTGCGAATGAGGAACTGTGTTCTTGGGCAAAAACACCTGGCTGCGTGCCCCAATGAGGCTCGCCTGAGTGTCACGGTCTAACCTAATCTAGCATCGTGAGCCACAAGACAGGAACATGCTGGAGACTGGTTCTGGCGCGTGCAATTCCGCAACTGTGGCTCGAGCTTCGGATCCGAAGCGAAAGATACGGCGCCTCATCGGAGGAGAAGGCAAAAACAAACACACTTCCGGCGACTTCATAGTAGAATCTATCCGGTAGTGGTGGTGTCAGTAGCCGTATCCTTTGTTGCTTTCCTCGGTGTTCTTTTTGGAGGCATTTTTGGCTCAGCACAATGCCATTCTCCTTGCAATCGAGCAGAAACGAAACCCGCAGGGACACCAGCCTGACCCACCCTGGCTACCCGCGCCACTCATGGCTTCGTTGGACACGTGCCGCATCCCCTGTCGTCAACGAATCGTACTGCTCCAACCCTTGGGCACCGGGTTGTTGCACACACATACACACAAACACACGCTGGAACGAGCATGCTCTCACGACGAAACATTGGTTGAACACAGAGGACTAAGCAAACACGTTTAGCACGCAGCAAGCTGATTGACATATCTGCATGCTCACTGCTTTGATGCACACTAGTAGTTGACATGTTCAGCACTCACCCATCTCCCTTCAACCGTAGCTCGCGCTGACCACAAGACAACTCAGGCAATCTCACAACATAAGCTATCGCAACATAGGCTTCTGCTTGTCTTTGCCTTGGTTTGCTACGACCCGATAGGCTGCACGCATCCACAGCGTCGCAATCCAAAAGAGTACAGTGTAAAACGAAGCCACTTTTCCACCAACTTCTTGGATCGGAATCCTCGTGAAATCAAGTGGCCCTGCTTCACTGAGGGCCTTTTTGAGGTCTCTTCATGTGTAAGTCCCTGTAAAATCTTGTGTTCGATGATCGATGTCCTGGAAATCCAACATGCAAATCTGCTGGATCCCAAAAATGGAAGAAGACTTCTTCCGGTCGGTTTCAAAATTCGGCTGAGCAAATCCGGAGTCACTTCGGCAGGGAGCAACCCCCCCCAATAGCTGGTGCTCAGTTGGAATGCCATACTGGAACGCTTCAGCGACCTCATGGTCGAATCCGTCCGACGGTGGTCGTGTCAGCTGTGGTACCCTTGCCTTTTTCCCTGTTCTTGGCGTGTCACGCCCACGGCCATTCCTATTTCAATCAAACATAACACTATATTACATACAGCGAGAACAACGTGTTGCGGCGTTTCAAGCTGCCAGATACACCGTCTTCCCACCCCACTGGTAGCTTCGCTGGACACAGTCCCCGTGGTACGCTGTCATTGCACGTGGTGCGCTGTCCATGCACCTCAGTCTCTTTAACGAGCGGTATTGCTCTAGCACTTGTGTAAAGGGGTACTGCGCACCCACCAAACACACACACACACACACACGCACGCACACACGCACGAGACACACACACACACACATGTATACAGACATTTGCACGTGCTTGCACGCGAGAGCGCATGCAAAGAACAAACGCTACCAAAGTGTCATAGCTTCACCCGTAGTAAATAGCTCGCCGTCTAGTAGTCTTCCTCACCTCTGTCGGTATGCACGCCACCCTCGCTGCACAAAAGCCACATACATGTGCTCTGATTGCTTTCATGTCGGTTCCTGGTAGCCACATACTGGCTGCTGAGGTCCTGACAACCCACTTGACAATGGCACCAATGTTGCCAAGTATCCCAGCTTCACACGAACCTGACAGTGTTCGATGCGTTTCTTGCCAAGAACGCTGCACTTCGGCTTTCCGCATCCAGCCTCGAGTCTCGTGTCGGCAAGAGCGAAACCCTGCGAGGATTCGTCGCTGTCGCAAGCTGCCAGGACACTCGGATACTCCACTTCCTTTTGGGCCTTCCATACCAGGTGGAACTGGTCCTTTGGCAGTGGTGAGCGTGGACCGCTAATCCATTCCTGTACCTCACCATGAGACGAGCCTTCTTGCTTGCTCGGTCTATCACTGTCGCACGTACGTGGTTGCTTGAGGTCCACACGACTGGGATCAGAAGTGCATAGCGAATCATCAAGATAATTGCACAGGTATATGCTGTGGTAGTCAGGAGCCAATTCCGCCTTATTTTCAGACCAAGGACATTCAAGGAGCCATGCTCACCAGGGTGGAAGCCGATTCCATGCTCAAGCAGTAATGCAGCAGCGGAGCATGCGCACTGATCCGTCGAATTGCTCCACAGCCACAATGCCTGCCAGCCAGATTTTGGCAGCACTGCGAGATTCCAAGCATACCAATCCGAGCTGCCTAGACAAAGCAGAAGGATAAGGCAGGAATCCACGGTAAATGGCTGGATCATCACCAGATTCAGCATGATGCCCATCTCCTTTGTTGTGCAGACTTTCCTGGAATCATCATATTACGAGCCAACAGACATGGGCAGAATCTCAGTTCATCGCGATGAAGATGCCACCGATCCAGAGGAACAAGGCCTTGGGTCAGAGATTCAACTCAGCTTCAAGCTCTGGCTGCTCTGGTAGCAGCATGTTGCAGCTATGCGAGAGAACACACCAAACCCTACAAACTGTCCGAGACACCAAAGCAGAGTTGGAGTTCACGTACATGGACGGAATCTGTATCTTCATAGACAATGCCTGTGCTTGTATAGCCGCCAGCACACCGACGACCAGATGGGCCCAGGTTACCTCACAATACAGCTTCAGAATTCATCCTGTAGCACAGACTGCATGAGACTTCTCTCAACTGGCGCCTCAAGAACGGTCTGCTCGGAGCGCTGAAGGCCGAGAAAGCTGTCGTAGTTGTGGGACTCCATTACCTGCAGACTTCGCCATCTCAATATCCCCATATGCAGCCCATACGAAGGGTATGCTAAGCAACCGCTACGAGTTTAAGAATTCAGGAGCTCTCTTGCATGGCATGCTGCTTGGCAGTAAAACAGCGCCAGAACAATCAAGTTGCTGAGCACGAGCACGCCTGGTCGCATACACTTGCGCACGGCACTCACTCAGGGGATGCTAACAACAGACAGTACAAAGCCACACTGTGACAGCAAACACTACCTCTGCATTGGACCGAGCGCGTCGCTGCGCCACACAGCACTGCTTGCCCGTAGGGCATCCCAACCTGGGCAGGTGAGAGCAACAGTATGCGAATTTCCAACCTTTGGGAGCTTTGGGTCCAGGCCTGCGCTGACATACGAAGACATGGCGCCGCTAGCCACCAAGCACAAAAGCCAAAGCCTCGTTGCAACTCTGCGGGGTGGGCTTGGAGCGATCACCGTCCGTTTTAATTCTGAAGTCTGAAACAATCAAGTCTAAGCAGTTGGAACTGCAGCAGCACAACTCGAGCAAGTCGACTGCGCTAGTCACGAGGGACGAGGCGACGAACATGTGTCACCACTACATGCATGCAGGCAGCAGGTAGGCCACGCCAAGTAAGTTTGCTGGCTCTTGTCCTAGGGTCACCTTGGCGAAATCACGACAGTAGGCGACATCACAAAAAACGGGTGTGTCAAAACCTTAGCTTGCCACTATGGCGACAAACGCCGCAGTGATGGGCCGGAGAAGTGCGACTCCCTGCACTCATGGCTTTCAAGCTACATCATACGCACCCATCGGCTTCGCATTGGGCCACCTTGCGCACCCACATGGACACAAAGCCTCCTGTCACGCAGTATCCCTCTCAGGCTCCACTTGTCTATCTTGGTTCCAGACTCAAGACAGCTTGGGCGCCTGAAAATGCAGGTGCTCGCTGATCGGCCGGGCCTGCCGGGCTTGCCGGGCCCTCAGCCTTGCAAACTAGCGGCTTTCCTTGAGAATCGCTCCGTGCTTGAAACCCCGCCTCAGTGCCTTCAGACCTGCGGGAGTCTGCTTGACTCCTTGCGCCAAGCGCCTGCCCGGCTGCTCTCCGTGGGCCGTGGGCTGTAACATCCCCCGTCTCTTGAACAAGCTGTACTGGGGCGACTGACGTCAGCAGAGCAACACAATACCCCGATGAAAAATCACAACTTCCGCTGGCAAATGCTGGTCGAAATCGTTGTGCTTGGGGCTGTCCACATACCACCGGGATTGGAATACCTATTCATGCGGCCGTCGCAGGCCCAACTCAGACTTAAGACATGAGAAGGCTGTCCTACTATAGAGAAGCATGAGTAGAGGCCCCTTTTTGTGTCGTGGAGCTCAGCGAAGAACCCTCGAACAAAAACAACGTCAGCCTGAAGGTAACTGTTTGAAGAACTGTTTCTGATGATGCAAGCCCAACCCCTCCAGTTCGAGGAAAACAGTGCGGCGAGTCTTGCTTAACCACCCTCGTTAGCATCAGGAGCCGCCTTACTTAGCCTTACTTCGGATTGATGGACGTCTGGTCAGGTAGAGCAGACACCGCTCTTGCGCCGAGGTTCAACTGCTTCCAAAGTCTCGAAAACTTTCTAAGAGCCTCAGAGTCTGCTGTTTGGGCTTATGCAGAGGCCGCCGAAAAGAAAAGCTGTTGCTGCCTCTGCTCCTGGTTATGGCTGGAAACTTATCCGAAGCTGTAGCCATAGTTGCCTGCAAAGCCCTGCTCCTCACGAAGGCTGCTCCGAACAGCAGGGCCACGCCCTGGCAAACTCCATGGGTCATCCGGGCAAAACAACGGCTAATTGCTCACAGCCGGTCCAGCCAGCACGTGCACCTGCCCCAAAGCGAAGAAGTAGCGTCGTAGCGACGGCCGAAACGGCCCTCGGGCGAGAGGTTTAATGCACTGTGCTTGGCCGCCAATAGCCCCCTGTATACCCGTCTTGAACATTACCAGCTTTCATGTGCGACGTGCTGCCAGGCCTTCGCGCAAGTAACACTGAAGTCCAGCTCGCTCCATCCAAGTGAAGGAGTTCGGTACGTTGGAAAGTGGAAGGTCTTCGACATGGCAGAAGATGTTGTAACCTCACAAGGGCTTGATCGGAAGCTCTGAAAGCTTGATGGCACGGCACAGGATCCAGGAGCCGTGCAGTACCAAACAAGGCTACAGAGCAACTCATAGAGGAAGATGCACTGGAAAACACCAAGCCTCAGCTTCGGAGGACAGACGAGGCTGACCAAGAGCTGGAGGCTGAAAGGAGTGAGCCGAGAACGGAAAATATTGCATGGGAACATGAAGCACGACCATTGCTCCCAACCTGATCCGCGAACAGTCGGATGTCTGATGCTCACGGAGTGCACAGTAGATCCAGGCTCAGCTCAGAACACAAGCGGCAGGGTTGCAAGCGAAGGCCACACCGATGGCAATGCCAACCTTAGTAACGAGCATTCGCACACAAAAAAAGCTCCTTACCTCCGCGCACTGATCCTGCACATGGATTGGACCTGTGTTTTCCAACATAGAAGCCATGGAAGAGCAGAAGAGAGGAGAAGAGCGAGGCAGTATATAATATGCTTCTCCGCTCTTCTCCTTCATTCCAGCCGGGTGGCATGGATACCAGCAAAACGAATGTGCTCCCACTCGCCACACTAGCCTGGCGGCGGTGGGTGTGCCAGAGATCTGCAGCTTTCTTGGGCAGGTGAGAAGCCCCGTGCTAACGTGACACGGCAATCCATCCAACGAGTCTTGTCAGAGACTCGAATGGTGTTCCGTGCACCCTGATGCTAAGAAGTAGGTCCATATTATGGCAAAAGATGTTGCCATTCTCGTGATTGTTCTATTGTTCTTCAACGCGAGAAACGGAAGCCTGATTGATCTGAGATAACTCGAGACAACAAGCACGAGGCAGGCAGCGAGCACACGCGTCAGAAGACACTCTGCCAGGCCTTGTTCAGAAGTAAGGCCGACCAGTTTACGGAGTCCTCCTTATGAGGTGCCATACGTGCAAAGATTCGTTGCGAACTGAACTGCTCAGGTAATGTCGATGGTTCTATGCTGGTTAACCCCGCTGATATGACCGGCCACTTGCCGCAAAATCCCACGCCTCCATGGATAAATCAACCCACCAAATTAAGCCTACCACCCTCCGTTGCAAAACTTCCCAGGCCCTGTTGCTATTGCTTCTGCTGATTACTCCTACTGCTTCTGCTCCTGCAACAAACAACAAAAACTATCCAGCAACCAGCAACCAGCAACCAACAACAACCACAATTTGCAATTGGACGCTGCGCGAACGGACTCCACGCTTAGCGGACAATTACCGCGCTGGCACTCTTAATGAAACCAAAAAAAGAGAGTTTCGAGATTGGCATGACTGACTCCTGGGATTACTACCTGGCTCGGGGACCGATCCATGATATGCTGCTCCGTACGGTGTTCGCCGACAAGCACTTGAGGCCAACTGACTCATCTCCACCGTGCAGGGTTGCCTGCGACGGCTGCCCTGTATCCCGGAGGACCGGCGACCACAAGAGAGAGCAGAAAGACCTCCACATAACAGGGCCACGGTCGAGCTCAATGAGAAGAACCTGACAAAGATCCGAGAGCTAGATGAACTCTGCCATTGCTTCACTCGCTCCAGGCATGGAAGCGCTTTTTTTGCATGCGGGAAGAAAAGCGCATCGCAACGGAGCGATATCTTGTGTCTTGGTCAAAAAGGCGTGCGCCTCTGAATCTGCATCCACAGGCCGAGCCACCTGAGTACAAGTGTCTGGTAGAGTAACCCGAGGTTCCTTGCTACCGCTACCAGCTGCGGTTTCCCCAGTTCCAGGAGCTGGAAGAAGAGGCTCCCCGCTCCTCCTCACGTTGCCAGCATGGACGATCCTCCCATTGTCGTCTCGGCCCGCTGCTTTCGTCTTTTTGCCTCGTTTCCGAGACTCTCTCTGAAAAGTCTGATTGACGTTTGTCGGGGCGGATGTACTTCAGCTTGGCCTTCGTGTCTCCCAGCTTGTGGTCAATACGGAGTTTGCGAACGACCGTGCCATCCTTCTGCGGCATGTAGATCAGCATACTATTAATGAGGCCGCAGGAGCGACATGTCTGATCGTAGATGGCCTTCATGGTCGAAGCGACACTTTCGAAACTGTCGTCTGTTTCAAGCAGGTCGTCCATCTCCGGTTGCTCCCATATGCCCTTGAAAAGGGAACCGATCAACCCAAAGAAACCTGTCAGGCGGGGAAGCTCCCTGTAGGTAGGTCCTTCCCCCAGAGCTATGGTGAGCATGCCTTCCGAGCCCATGACAGGCCTGGCGGTCATTGTTTCCGTCCAAGTCGTGCCCTCGTCCGTCACTGCTAGAAGGATAGGTGCAAGGATCCACGGAGGCGTGGCGAGGATGCGCATGCGGTCCTGCCACATGCGGAGCTGCTCTGAGACTTTCAGACCTCCACTGAAGGCCTTCTCGTTAATGATGAGGATGGTAGCCAAGGCGTGAACCCGTTCCAACATATGGTCTGCTTGACAGATCTTAACTGATTCATCTGATCTTAACGATCCTGTCACGTTTTGGGAGGGCTGCCTCTTGGTCCTCGAGCGATGGTCCCGGCACATGGTCTACCAGTGTGTGTACCTCTACTGGCCCTTGGTATTTTACATCTGCCATGGGGTTTGTCTCGACCATGATAGGTGGCGCTGGCGAGGTGGTGGGCTCGTCAAACTCGCCGGCATCTTGCTTTTCAGTCGTATCCTCTCCGTCGGGCTGAGAAGGAGAAGACGCCGAGCTGGGAGAGGAAGGCTTCACGAAGGCGTACAACAACCACAACAACAACAACAGCTACT